TGGTCGTCGTTGTGGTAGTTGTTTAGTGATTGTTGTTGTTTAAATTGTTCATCAATATTTAATAATTAATATATAATTATAGGCGTGATGTCACGCCGAGGGGCCAGGAGAATCCAACACTGCGCCAACAACAGGTCTAAACATAATTCTAGGAATTCGACGAGTCGCAACGTCAAATCTCCTCTTCTCCAAAACGATATCTGTCAACAACCAACCACTTCCTACGCCAGTGTAAACGACATAGATGCGATAAATCATCATCACGTGACGTTTTAGCATTCATGATAAAAACGCAAAAATGAAAAAACCAAAAAAAAAAAAAAAATAAGAATCATCGTTGTTCAATAAAAATTAATGCAATTTTTATATATATATATGTCTAGAGACTGAAACCAAAAAAAAAAAAAACAAACAAACAAACAAAATAACAAACAACAACAACAACAACAAATTGTGGCAACAAGAATAATTAATTTTTCGTATATTTAGAAAAAATGATATTATTCTTTCTTAATACAAAGAATGTGAGGATGTATTTAAAACTAATGTCTCTCATAATTTAAATTAGATTTACATACGTCAATGTATAGATTTATATATATATATATATATATATATATATATATATATATATATATTTTATTTTTTTGTATTTTTATTTTTAATTTACAATATTATTAGCTTTTATCGTGCAAGTTGTATTATTTTTTATTTTTTATTTTTTTTATGCAAATGCTGCAAATGTAAACAACGTGAAAACTGTCAAAGTACATCATCACCGACAATGATTTAATTATTACGTAACGTCAAAATTTGATGATTTATTGCAATTATTGGCATTTCTTTCTTTCTTTCTTTCTTTCTTTTTTTTTTGTATTCCTAAAAAAATAAAAACAAAAGAAAATAAGCAAATGAAATTCAATAGAGAAGGACAAACGCGTTTAGGATATATATATATATATATATATATATATATATATATATAAATATAATTTTTATTTTTCTTCTTCTTTATATTATTTATTGTCTGCAAGAATATTTTGGTTTTTTTTTTTTGTATGAACCATTTTGTTTTACAAAAAAAAAACAAAAAAAAACAACACAAATAACTTGCGGATAAAAAAATTCCTATTAGAATTAAATTAAATTAAATTAAATTAATTAATACTGACACGATTATTCAGTTAGCAAAAGGAAAAGTTAAATTAAAACTAAACTAAAGTAATTTTCTAAAAAGAAAAAAAAAAAGGATTCCATTTTGAAATGGAATTTCTTTTAGAAGTGGAGAATGTGTGTGTGTGTGTGTGTAGTTTACAAAGATCACACACATACACATAAAATACATACGCGCGATTTACATGCATTTGTATTAAGTTTTTTTTTTATTTTTCTTCGTTATTTTGTAGTCTTATTAGTCATTTGCATTTCTTATTAATTTGTGAGGCAGATCGTTTATTAATAATAATAATAATAATAATATACTAAATATTATTTATAATTTGTAAGAGTGTGTGAAAAAAAACAATGGAAAAAAATTGTTTGTTTTTCTAATTAATTAATTAATTAAATTTACAAATAATTCATTCTTAATCAGACATACAATAATCATATTATATTCAAAATATATATTTACATATACATACATACATACATACATATACAATTAATTTGTAATAACACACTATCGTCGGAAACTTTGTGAGCTTGACTCACGCAGTATACTTTTTAAAAAACATGTTATATCTTCACATCTAATAGTAAAATTTCAATGAAATTTCAAAAATAGATATCAAATAGTATTTCGAAGATGTAAAAAAACTACAACTTTCAATACTATCAAAATCAATTAACTGAATTTATCATACTTTGTTTGTAAACACGAAAATTGCAGTGTCAAAATAGCACATTTCATCAAATTATTAATTTTACTTAATAATTCATAAATTTAAGACTAAAACACTGGTCAAGTTTTACAGAAAAAACAATCAGAAACGTCATTCCTGTTCAAAAATTAATGACAATGACAAAAAAACACAAGCATTAGTAAGTGTTTTATTGAAACTTAGCTTACGTTCTGTATAAAACGTATTA